TCAGCAGCTACAGATGAAGCTAAAGGCTAGCCTTTAGCGGCTACAGATGAAGCTAAAGGCTAGCCTTCAGCAGCTACAGATGAAGCTAAAGGCTAGCCTTTAGCGGCTACAGATGAAGCTAAAGGCTAGCCTTCAGCAGCTACAGATGAAGCTAAAGGCTAGCCTTTAGCGGCTACAGATGAAGCTAAAGGCTAGCCGTCAGTAGCTACAGATGAAGCTAAAGGCTAGCCTTCAGCGGCTACAGATGAAGCTAAAGGCTAGCCATCAGCAGCTACAGATGAAGCTAACGGCTAGCCTTCAGCAGCTACAGATGAAGCTAACGGCTAGCCTTCAGCAGCTACAGATGAAGCTAAAGGCTAGCCTTCAGCAGCTACAGATGAAGCTAAAGGCTAGCCTTCAGCAGCTACAGATGAAGCTAAAGGCTAGCTATCAGCAGCAACAGATGAAGCTATCATTATGGGTTCTATTAATTCTATAGATGGGTTATTGTATTGTGTTCTATTATATTTCATCATATATATATAAAAAATGTTAGAACTGTAAATTTACAGTCATATGTTTATATTTCTGTTTATATATACCGGTATATATATATATATATATATATATATGTGCTATTTTTCAAGGCTGCACTTTTAAAAAGATGAAATTGTCCAGACAGCTGTTCCAAACGAAATTTCTTTGTTTTACACTTTTGTAAAAAGAATGACAAATTAAATCTGCCAGTCTATAAGCTCCAGTTTGTTCTTTGGAAAACTTTCAGTTTAGGTGTAAAAATAAAACGAATTTAAATAAAATAAGAAATATTTAGCTCCAGAATAATAACAAACTAAGTATTTAGTTTGTTAAATGATTATTTCGTTCAAATAATAAATATTTAGTATGGAAAATTAATATTTAGTTTGCTGGCAAATGTTTTAACTGACAATCTAAATACGTAGTTTGTAACTTTTATTTTTATTAATGGATGAAAAAAGGAAAAAATTAGCCCCTTATTTTTCCCTTAAAAGACACTGAATAACGACGACGGAGTATTAGGGCCAGGCTAGAGATTTATCTTTTGATTTCGAGAATAAAGTCGTAATATTATGAGAATAAAGTTGTATTTTATGAGAACTCTTCCCAGAATCCCTTTCTTCCCTAAAATGAGGAATGTGGAGCATCATGTGAAGTT